AGATAAAAGGGAAACATTCAAGGACCTACATAAATATCTGGACTCTGAAACGCGAATTTTATACTTAGGTATGTAAGTCGATGTACCATATACCACTATATCAAATAAGAAAATATTTAGAATTGGCAATTCAATTTGCCTTTCAGAAAGATATTAGTGTCATATCTTATTATCATTTTAATTCCAGTATGCTACAAAATAGAAAGTAGGAAGAATACAACTATTCCTTATCTACATATTTAAATGAACTATAATAATACTTGAAATTCTAAAGATTTTTTGAAAATAAGGAAAACTCAAAAGTTCCAAAACAGTACACTTACTTCATAGATGGTAAATTTAAATGCTAACACTTATATCAAGAATTAAAGCAAATTAAATACTAAAAAGATGAAAGGCTGATGACCAGCCTCTGAACTTAATCACAATCACAAATTTAATATTATGAGTCAACAATAGAATGTTTTTCCTCTATGAATTAAAGACTCAGCAATTGTTATATTCTATACCTGGAAATCAGTCAAGCATTTTTAAAAACAATTATGAGCTTTAGAAGTTCAAAAAAAGGAAAATTTATCACTGAAGTCATATTAATCTAGAAAGAATTAACAGCTCACTGCAAAAAAAAAAAATCAAAAGAATGTTTTATTCATGGAATGCAATAGGTTAGCTTAAGGAAAATGTAGACTTTTGAAATATGGTTAGAGGTACTAAACAAATTCAAGTAGACCTCAAGGAACATTATATATAAAGTATTTTTTCTTATAGAAAATAAAATAACAATAACATCACAATAGTACAATTATAGATCACAATAGTAGAATTATAATCTATACAGCTTCTGGTTCACAGTGTTTGCTTAGGTATTAAGAATGAACTCTCAATGCATTATTTCCCTTTAGCTAATAATATAAACTGGTTTTGATACTTTATATTAAAGATACTATATTAAAAAAGAGAAAATATATTAATAAAGAAGTAGAAAAATATGATGCTAGGAAAAGATGAGATCCCACTTCATCACAAAATAATATTTACCTTTATAAAAATAAAAAATAAATGTATACACTATCATTCATGTACACATTACATTTATTTAAACTAAAAATTAAGAACATTTATTTCAATCTAATTCTATCTGGTTTAGAGGTATTTAATTTTTTTAAAAAAATAGATATTTTATTTAAAAAACAGAAAAATTTTCCTTTGGCAATTCTGATTGAACTGAGATTTGTTGGCTTTCTTTGAAATGTTTAACATAAACTTCTTTTCCTTTAAAAATGGTTTTAGAATTTCTTAAACATATTTTAATCTTATGAATTTCTAACAACTTTCAGAAACTTATGGAGTTCTAACAATTTGAAAATGTGTAATATAAATTAAAGTATTGAGGAAGTAGAAAAATTCAGACATTAAGCAATTTTGTTTTGTAAGTTTTCATCTATGAAAATAATTTACTATAAATGTTGGGCTGAGGTATATATGAAATGAATACTTATATAGCAGAATTATAAAATGATAGCAAAATATAATCTTTTTCTCATAAAAATAAATATATTTAAGAACCCCCAAATTAAATCAAGTATCTGTATTCACTATGCAGTCTTTTCAACCCAGTAAATTCATTCTAAATGTGTGCAATTTTAACATTATAGTTCTTTGTTTAATAATGCTTCTAAGGGAAAATCTTATATATACTTGTACATATATTTGTACAAACAAACGTACCCAAACACTATAGAACCATCTTTTCTTCCCTTTCTGAATATTGAAATGTCTACAGTTGAAGAAAACAGGAAGATGAACAACAACAATGACAAATGAATGTGAAATTTGCTTTTTAGGTTTGTGATCATTGAAGATTAGGAAAGAAACAACCAGGACTCTGGCTTATCCACCACTATTTATCCATATAAGGCAACCAAGAATAGGAGTGGGTGTTCACATTAGCAGACCAAGTGCTGCTGCAGCATTTTTAGTGTGCTTAACTTCCCCACTCCCACCTTTTAACAGCCAAGTGACTGCCTCCTTTAAAAAAAATACTGCTGAGTGGGTACATAAACCAGTCCTATTTGCCAACTGTAAAGGGTTCCCGCAAAGCTTGTGGGTATGTGTAAATTAATTCCATCATCTTTTTTTCTACAACTAAGAAGAGACAGGGGAAAACAGACTCTCTTATATTTACTGTAGCCTGGCAATAGTAATATACGTGTGACATATTTTTACCCTTGAAACGCAAAAGTACTTTAGAAATTGGCCAGTACTTTATAGAAGTTGACTGATGACTGATGGAAGGTTATAATATACTCTACCTCATGCAGGCTGTAAGGAAACCTCTAGCTGAAAAATATATGGGAAATTCCTCTGTAACAAGAAAAGTTCTTGAGGCAAAGCTATAAATCCAACATGTGGATTCTAAAGTTTCACGGAATTTTTATGATAGAAATGGTACAGGATTTCAAATAAAGAAGAAAATCAATATTGATTTACTTAAATATTTCCAATTAAGTATGTTTGTGTATTTTATATAGACATATATAAAATCTCACATATATACATATACATAGTTTTATATTGTTCACTACTTTGCTTTATTGTCACATTCAATTTCACTCTTTTATATTTCTCTCTCTCTTTCTCTATGATTCTATGCTAGTAATACTTTTTAAATCACTAGAGCCACTCAAGTTTAATAATTTATTAAGTATAGTTTCAATTTAACTCTCTTAAGTAATCATCATAAAGTCTACGAAAATTTAAGAAACAAATGGTATAAAAGGAGCATGACTGACTAAGAATATCACTATGCTGTGTGGTGAGAGTTAGATTCTAGTCACGGTTCTGTTTTTCACTTTCAGGACCTTGAAGAAGTCATTAAATCTTTTTATCCCAGTTTTCCTAATTGGAAAACAGAAGGATTGAACCAAGTGATATCTAAAATTCCTTCAGCCATCATTCTTTAAAATATTTAAGACATCCCTGAAAAACTTACAGAAGGTAGATTATACAGAAAAATGTTTAGAGTTCAGATTATCTGACTGGCTGGCTGGTTCCAGGGAAATAACTATTATAAACGCTCATCTTGGAGGCTGTCCAATTTTTTATCATTGAAATGGCTGGAGTAATTTTAACTTAGTAACATCTGTAAGGAAAAAATAAAGGCTTCCCAATCAAATTAACCAGGTAAAGAATATTTCTAGGAAAAGGACTTATGCAAGAACAAACTGCTTTGAACAACATCAAATATTTTCAAAATAATGTACATGGGACAGTTATAATTTATTTGCTTTAAAGGAAGTCTCTCTGTGGAAAAGTTTATGAAAACAAATTCAATTTCTTTAGTAGACACAGGTCATTCAGATTTTCTATTTCTTCATGTGTCAGTTTTGGTATGCTATCTGTTTTCAAAAAAAATGGACTACTTCCTCTTAAATGCAACTGACATGAAGTTATTTACGGATTATTTTATTATCATTTTAATGTCTATAAGATATATAATGATGCCCTCTCTTTCATTCCTGATATTGGCAATTTGTGTTTTATCTCTTCTTTTTTAAAACTGGTCTTAAAAAGAGCACATAAATTTTATTAATCTTTCCAAAGATTAATGTGCTTTGTTAATTTGATTTATTGCTTCCCTAATTTCTATTTCATTGCTTTCTGTTCTTATCTTTATAATGCCTGTTACATGTGCTGTTAAAAATAATGTATATTCTACATTATTGGATGTAGCTTTCTATAACTGTCATTTATGGCAAGTTAATTAATAGTTCGTTCAAATCTGCTATATGTAGAATTTTCCTTTGATTCTTTTGTATAGCTTTTATTTGTGCACTGGGGATCTCCTGTTACTATGAACACCTTTTTAAGTTTTGAACATTTATAGTAACCGCTTTAAAGCCCTTCTCTGCTAATTCCAACATCCAAAAAAAAGAAAAAAACTTTTTTTCTTTCTATGTAAACAGATGAAGAAATTGAAAACTATGCAAGCTGTTCCTTTAGGATGCACTTTCTTGAAGTCTTTTCTACACATGCACAATTCAGGAGTCAGCCCATAATTTTAGGAGAGTTTGTACACAGAATTGGGACTCCTCTCTCTGTGGTTTTCTCCTTTTATGAAATTTCCTAATCAACTTTTAGTCATTTTGGCAGCTCTGTCTTCTGACATTTCACACCATTAACAGTGGCGTTTTCTGCCGAAGGTCTCACTATCTTACATTGCATGACATTGGAAAAGCTAGATAAATGGGGATCTTATTCATTGCTGTTCCTTTCTTTCGAGTCAAATAGTTTCCCTCCAGTTTCTGTCCACATGCCATCACTCTGCAGTGCCTTCAAATATTCTTTTTTATAGTTTATAATCATTTATGATTAATAAATGAATGTATTCCCAGTGAATAAGAAAACACAAGTATGAAACCTGCCCTTTTCAGAAACTTCATTGTTAACTTTCCCCAACTGCTTCTTTTAATCGCACACTCTAATCTGTCTCACAAAATCGATGTTTTCAAAACAGTTTATCAACAAAGTATATAAAGTAGCAAAGTATATAAAGTAGCAAAGTATATAAAGTAGCAAAGCTATCTAAGAATTTTTAATAGAGTCATTGAAAATGCAAATGCATGCTTAATCATAGTGAATTGTGGTACATAGTTTCTAATAAACAAAAAAATAGCAGAAACATACGCAGTGTCATTTACTGTCATTTACGGCATTTACTGTCATTTACGGCAAATTAAATGTTTCCACTGCTTTCTCCTAGATACTGAAAAGTAAAACTTCAGCTGGGTCTACTAACTGATTACCAAAACACTCAAAAAAAAGTATTTTTATCCTTTCCTCAGTCAAATTAAAAGGCCACATTGAAAAATATGTATTAAAAACCTGAGCTTTCAACAACCTATACTTCTTTAAACCTAGGTATTAAAGTCAGCAATTACACTGATAACATCAAAAATGAGGGCATTAATTTACATTTTTCTATTATATAAAAGATATACCTGGGTTGTGATTGTGGTTCTGGCCTGATAGGTTTTTGCTCCTTTTTAATAAAGGCTTTAAAGGTTTTCTATAAAAAGGAAAAGAAGAGTTGACATAAGTAGAAAAACAATGTCATCAGCTATAAAATTTTAATTCCATTGATGTTCTGTTATATTATCAAAGGGAGAATCATTATAATATATATTATAAATCTACACATTAATATACATTTGTTAGTATACTCAGAGGGGTATGACTGTTGGACCTCCTTCAGAACCTTTTAGCACCCAAGAATACAGTTTCTACTAGTTATTTTAATGAGCAAATATCCTTACAACTCTATTATAGATGAGACTTTAATTTATTTATTTGTCCTCTGTCTTACAAAAGAGATTTAAGATGGCTTTTAATAAATACAGTACATATGCAAAAGGGAAATAAAATCCAGTGAAGGGGAAAATATGGGCAGAAAAATAATGCCAAATATGTTCTGATAATTTGTGATATTTGAAATCTGGCTGTCAAAAACCTAACTATTGAGGTGTCATGGACTTAATTGTGCTTCCATATGTCAAAGCCCTAGCCCCACAATGTGACTGTATTTGAAGATAAGGTCTTTAATGAAGTAACTATGGTTGAATGAGGTCAAAAGGGCAGGGCCTAATTCAACAAGACTGATGACCTTATAAGACGAGGAAAAGATACCCAAGAAAAGGCCATGTGAGGACACAATAAGAAGATGGACATCTTCAAGCCAAGGAGAGAAATATCAGGATAAACCAACCTCACGGGCACCTTAATCTTGGGCTTCCAGCCCCTAGAACAGTAAGAAAATAAATTTATGTTGTTGAAGTCACCCAGTCTCTGGTATTTTCTTATGGTACCCTTAACACACTAATACACACAGTAACAAATAAAACAGTAGTTCTAACATTCATAATGTCTATAATAAAACAAACATATTCAGTGAAAAATTGTTTCCATCGGTTTTTCAAATAAACCTGGTATAATGTACCAGCTTCAGCAGCATCACTTCCAACAATTTATGGATTTTTCTTATATAATCCTTCAATATTAGTCAAAGATAAAAAGAATAACTGGGGAAGATAATTCTATAAGACCCCAGAAAAACTGGGTGATTGGTTGTCTGGTCATTCAGTATGGTCCAAATGTAAAATTGATAGCTACAGCCACTGATGGCTTGCATATCTACTTTATAATCTTCCAGGACAATTTTTGTATAAAATAGCTTTTAAAAAATGGGAAGAGGAATTTGAAGTAAACTTGATAAATGAATAAAATAATTAGGGAATTTTGAGCTGTTAGTGTTGTCTCCCTCAGACTCTCTCAGAAGTCAGTAACAGAAATTTATTGGTCAGTGATATATGGTGTATTCATGATACCACAAGAAAAGTGCTTATTTTAGTTTTGCATTTTAAGTTTCAAAGATGTCATTGACAACTAAAGTCAAAAATGTCTCCTCTATAAACTCTCAGGAGATATAAAGAGCCAATGTAAAGATGAAATGTGGAAGAAAGTTGTGTTTATCTTGCAAAAATATTCAGCATTAAGACATACACTGATTTCTAAAACAATTTAAACAAATCGCAAATCTCTTATACTGAGTTAAGCTTCATTCTGACTTATGCTGCCATCTCAGATGCAATCTTACTTGTAAGTATTAATTTCATTTCGTGGCATTCACTTCTTAAGCACTAAGATTGACCTTTCTTCTGGAACACAATAACCCAGAAAATTGTTGTGCATCATCTCTCAATATTTGTTACATTAGAATTCCTTGATCATGTTTCCTTTTTCAAATTAAACAATCATCCTCAAGAATAATACTGTACGTTTTAAAATACATGTACAACATGTAAATGATAATAAAGCAGGAAGCAGGACCTCCTATATTTTAAATGTCTCATTCAAGATGTTCCGTGACACATTTTCATGGCTATAAAAATACTAATGGCCAAAAATTATTGTTGATCTTGATATTTCATACTTTTACACAAAACAATACACTTGGCTTGGGATACACTGTCCTTCTGTGCTACTACTGTTTACACTTGCCAACTTCATCTTTTTTTCAACTCCTTCCTTCTTGGCCAGACTAACTCAATTGACACATTCTCCATAATGAGGGGTGGCAAATGTGAAGGCTGCTAAGTAAAACAATCTCAGACAAACATTCCTGAGGATTTCCTTTCTTTAGATGTCCTCTGTGATTCTATTTTCTCTCTTCCAATTTCACTGTCTTTGCAACCTCCATTGATGTTTTCTACCTAACATAATTAGCAATTGATTCTTTTTTTTGTTTGTTTGTTTTTTTTTTTTTTTTGCTTTCCTTTTTGCAAAGTAAATATTGCCTTTGTTATAACGGGTCTGGTGTTTTTCTAAGTCTTAGTCTTCTACATACTTATATATTGACATCTCAAGTCCATTCTGCCTTGATATTTCACCTCTATTTTCTCTCAAATTCTTTCTCTCCTCATTACACAGCCACTATCTGCTTCATTCAACTTCTTTTTTTATTATTATACTGTAAGTTCTGGGATACAAGTACAGAACATACAGATTTGTTACATAGGTACACACATGCCATGGTGGTCTGCTGCACCCATCAACCCGTCATATATATTAGGTATCTCTCCTAATGCTATCCCTCCCCTAGCCCCCACCCCCTAACAGGCCCTGGTGTGTGATGCTGCCCTCCCTGTCTCCATGTGTTCTCATTGTTCAACTCCCACTTATGAGTGAGAAGATGCCGTGTTTGGTTTTCTGTTCCTGTGTTAGTTTGCTGAGAATGATGGTTTGCAGCTTCATCCATGTCCCTGCAAAGGACATGAACTCACCCTTTTTTGTGGCTGCATAGTATTCCATGGTGTATATGTGCCACATTTTCTTTATCCAGTCTATCACTGATAGCCATTTGGGTTGGTTCCAAGTCTTTGCTATTGTGAATAGTGCTGCAATAAACATACGTGTGCATGTGTCTTTATAGCAGAATGATTTATAATCCTTCTTTAAACACCTGGTCTTCCCATGCCAATGCATTTGGAGTGACACATCCTAAACATTTGGCTGAAGATGTAAGTCATTTATTAAACTCCCCTGGTAAATTTTTCAAATTTTTGTAACAACCTAAATAGATGTATTGAAAACTACTTTTCATACTCCTTTTCCCCACATATTTTCTCAAATCCCACAGTTTAACTGGTACCAAGTTTCTGATAATTTACACAATACTTTTACACCTGAGGCTTCTTTCTTAAAAAGCACCCGTCTAATCCATCAATTCCCTTCCTCTTTTCAAATCTCGTTTGGATTTTTTTTTTTTCTTTTGACAATTCCCTCATGGTCTAACGGTTAAATTCTTTCATTGATAAACCATAAATCTTTAGCCTTCAATTTTTGCATCTTAATTGTAGACATATTTCATTTAACTCCTATTGGCATAAAATTATAAAATATCTCATTTATAATTGGCCTATTATACCCAAACACTTACTCCCAAATGTGGTTAAAGGGTATTTTTTAAGTAGGAAGGGGTTTTCATGGTTTTAAACAGCCTGGTGACCCTACCAGAAACATTAATAAACACATCACTCAAGGTAAAATGAAAGATTTGTTTAAATAGGTACTGTGAAGAGAAAATTATTAATTGCAAACACATATAAAATTACAAATTATATATTAAAACATGTGAAGTAAACTGAAGAGTTTTTTTCTGCCAGACTGGGCTATTAACACTAGCATTTGCTCTGAAGAAGTCAGTCACGTCCCTAGCACCTTCTGTGAAATAGCAGTGAGCTGTATTCTTTATGCCACTACTGCAATAGTTTAAACAGAAAAACTGTCAATCACTTGCACACATGCAGAATCAGAAGGCACTCAACACATCTTTCTGAGATTTTTCACAAGCCAATCTCTTTATATTCTTGAATTTGAGAGCTTCCAAGAATGCACATAAACCACAGTATGGTTTAAAAGCCATATAACCACCCATGGTAGTTACGATAGACATGTGAAAACCATAGGTTCCCAGAATCTTCTCATGGAGCCAGACCAGCCTCCACTTTGGAAGGTGGTCTTAAGTGTAGTATTCCCTTTCCATTTCTTTACAGATGTGAAGGTATCCCAAAGATAATGCTGGTCACTCTGTAGTAGCCATGGCTTCAAAAAGCCATTCAACTTTCAGATTAGGAAACACTGGAGAAGACGACATAGAAAAATATAGGTTGCCATCTACCAGTCACTACAGAAAATTTCTTTAACCTTAACAAAAAATTAAAACTACAGAAATTTACTCATTTATGTAGGTGTTTAAGGTAAGTGTAGGAGGCAATACACAGTCTGAAGAGAAGGAGGGAAATGGACAGGCAACTTTGCATCCCAACATAAGCCCCTGTAAAGGTTGGAATCCATTTGAAAAAAAGACACAAAGGGATTGCTGTTTCTAGGAATATGTTCATAGTAACAAATCTCAACATAATCCAACAATAAATTCCAAAAACATAAAAATGAAAGATGTTGTTTAATGCATGGCTGAGCTGATGGGAAAGTAATGGAATTCCATTCTGGTCAAACACTGAAATGTTGAAATTACTATTTTATAAGTTCAGAAGCTTGTCTTTACCTTGGGGATGGTATAGCAATTCCTGACAGCTTAGAGCCTAGGTTTTAATGACCTGCATGCCCTGCAGTCATTGGAGGCAAACATTGGAACCCAGAGTACCAAGGAAATTCAAATCTAAGAAAAATATTCATAAAACCCAGGTCTTGGAAGGGCAGTAGACTTAAGGCATAAACCAAGATTTTAAAGTTGCCCTGTAGAAAGACAGAGACTGTGAGACCACGTGCACACTATGACCTTGGCTCTAGGTGAAGAGGTAAAATTCCTAGAAGTTCTCTAGGAATTTCTAATGACAATATACCATTTATCTAGATTTAGAGGTTCAATTCACATTACTGTAATGCGCTACAACTCTGGGCCTCCACCAAAAAGGTTCGAAAATTTAGAATAAAAGTGATCTCACCTTAGTAGTGCCCTAAAGCACCAGGTAAAAGCAATTTTATCAATCA